CATCGGGCTCCCTGCTCGGCAGGGAGTCTGCTTCTCCCTCTGACCCTCCGCCCTCTCGTGCTCTCTCTCTTGCAAATTAAAAAAAAAAAAATATTAATCTGGATGTTGAAAATTTACCCCTATTCAAGTTACCACATTCAAGAACTTCCCTTTGTTACATAAAGCAAATTTATCTGTTTCTCTTTGATGTAACTAATGGCCTAGTCTTTATATTATATTAATAATTTTAAAGAACCAATAGTTGCCTATCTAATGCATATTAACGGATGGTAATCTTACTGAAATTTTTATTCCAAGTCCAAATTTACATCAACAAATATAGCAATATTAAAGACATCCAGAGTTGACTTCTTATCTTCTTTGGGGAGGGTAAGAAGTGGAGAGAAGTCTTTGCATTCACATTTCTAACTCACATTAGTCCCTTTCACATAAACTGTCACGTTTTCTGCTGGGAAGCCATCTTCAAACATATGTTTTTCTAAGAAATTATTATTTTCCTCAAATTTTGGAACAAGTTTCTCTTTCCTCCCTCCAAAAAATTAGAAAATAAAAATTTTATATGCTCTAATACAATAATCAAAGTGTCATATTTTTAAATAAAAACCAAATCAATCTCAGCACTGTTTTGAAATATTTTCACAATCTACTTATAGTTTAATATCTGTTTATAAAATGAAAGAGTGAAAGACATTGACTTTTAATTCCTTCCTGCCTGTTTCTTTTTAATTATCTGAGGTCAGTAATAATTTATAAGACTTGGGAATTTTTTTTACATTAAACTTCCTTTTCACTTTTTCTTTGAATAGATGCACAATAAAATAACAGCTTAAACAAAATCTGGACTGAACATTTTAGAATATTTATGCTTTAGTACCCAGGTGGAAAATTAAAGATTTAATTAGTATGTTTTGACCAAAACTCTCATGACAAATTTAACTCTCAAGCTTAATAAGCTATTAAAAACAACACTGGTCGGGTGCCTGGGTGGCTCAGTCGTGAAGCGTCTGCCTTCGGCTCAGGTCATGATCCCAGGGTCCTGGGATCCAGTCCCACATCGGGCTCCCTGCTCTGCGGGAAGCCTGCTTCTCCCGCTCCCACTCCCCCTGCTTGTGTTCCTGCTCTCGCTATGTCTCTCTCTGTCAAAAAAATAAATAAAATCTTTAAAAAAAACAAAAAACAAAAAACAACACTGGTCATATTAATAATAGATAATGACAAGAAGGATCACCAATTATTTAGTGTGGTGGGTGATGCTTTGCAAACATTCTTTCATCTAGTGCAAACCTTCAAACAACCGGAGAGGTAGGATTTTCAGGGGTTTTTTTTGTTTTGTTTTGTTTTTAATTTTGACTTTACCCAAAAGACACCTGTAGGGGGCAGCGCATGATTAGACCTACATCTCTCTGAAAGTCCAGGCTCTTTCCTCTCTCTGAGGCTAGGCCACACCTTCCAACCTTCACAATTTTTAATCACATTCACAAAATAACTGATGTATTACGAATATTTTAAATTGAATCACCTTTTTATTTTATTTTTTTAAAGATTTATTTATTTGAGAGAGACAGAGAGAGCACAAGACAGGCGGAGAGGCAGAGGGAGAAGGAGACTCCCAGCTGAGCAGGGAGCCCGAGGTAGGGCTTGATCCCAGGACCTGGAGATCATGACCCAAGCTGAAGGCAGACACTCAACCATCTGAGCCACCCAGGCGCCCCACCTTTTTATTTTAAAACTTAAATACACTTAAAGAAAACTCACAGACAAGAAAGAGACATCCCCAACCCTCCTCGCCCCAAAACACACACACATACATACAAACTGGCTTAAAAGTGAGAAGCTCCCGCCCAGGCAGGAAGGATGTCACTGGAAGCTGGAGGAAAGAGACCAGAAATGCTGGGGCAGAGCAGGGAAGTGGGCAGGGGCCAGTGAGGCCACTCTCCAAGCTGAGGAGCCAGGAATAGGCAGAGTAACTGTGGGGCTAGGTGATGGGCCAGAAGGAGCTGGAGGACTGGGAACAAGGATGAGGCTCCAGTCTGGTAAGGAGAAGCTGGGCCAGGGAAAGGGCAGGAAGAAAGGGAGACTGGGGGTGAGGGGCTATCAGCTGGGAGCTGAGGCCCAGGGCAAAACACTGAGAGGGGACCCACTGAAGGAGGCAGAGGCCTAAGGAAGGAGAAAGGCCTGACATGGTGAGCTGAGAGAATCAAAAGGCCTGAGGCACATGTCCCCGCTGTCCCAGGACAGTCTGCTTCTACATGTGTCAGTCTGTGTCCAACAAGAGGAATCAATGGATCGTCTGTACACCACTTAAAATCACTTTGGCCATCACTTCCTAGGCAAAGCAACCCTCTACGGAAAACACTCGTTAATAAGCCCCACTGCCTGAAACCAGGTATGTCTGCTCCTCTCCCTAAGTCTGGCAGTGCAGCCCAGCTTCTACCATGCACCCCCGGGGTGTCGGCGCAGAGCCTCCACTGCTAGGTCAACACCCAAGTTTTTCGGGAGCCTGCCTTACTAACATGGGCAGCCACCTAGACCAAAAGCACCAATGCATGCCTGAGTCTTACCTTGTGTAATGAATATCCTGACTCAAATATAATAGGAGGAAGCAAGAGGAGGAAAAACATATTTGGACGAAACATTTCTTCTTCCTGTAAATATAAAATGGGTATTTTCAGAAGCATGGAAATTTGTGTAGTTAAGAAATAAATCCATCAGTGAAGAGCCAAAGTTATTGTTCTCTTAGGCCCAGTGGAAACATGCAATGTTTAAAAGAGTACCTAATGATAAAACCAAGCAGCAGAGGAAACCAGAAAACATAATAAAACCTGCATTAAAAAATGTAGGACAAGTGATTTTAAAGGTGACCAGCATAAGAAACGGGATGAACTGCTTCCAAACACACAGTATATGCTCTTCATTTTTTTTTTTTTTTAATTTTTATAGAAAGGGAGTGGGGAGGGGTAGACAGAGAGGGAGAAAGAGAATCTTAAGCAGGCTCCACACCCAGCACGGAGCCCGACGTAGGGCTTAATCTCACGACCTGAGCCGAAATCAAGAGTTGGATGCTTAACCAACTGAGCCACCCAGGTGCCCCTGCTTTTCATTCTTTACTAAGGAAAGAAAGTTAATTTTAATACAGAAAACATTTCAATTAAAATAGAACACTTTCAAAAATAAGTCCACAAATTGAAATTCTCTGGGAAAAAGTAACAGTAAGCCCTAAAACAATCCACTTGGAGGAAGAGTAAACCCTATACATGTTTAAAATAGCCCTGCCTTTTCTCTGCCTGTCACAGACAACTGTGCCATTTTCCTAAATCTGGGACTATGATGGAATAGTCTCCATCTGACGCCCTTCTGACCTGGGACATGGCTATCAAGCAAGCCCCTTGCCATGCCAGAACATGGCCATTTTTAGAGGGATGACATAATAATTTCATTTTCTATATTAATACCTCTAATTGTTGAGGTACTGGGGGGAAAATTCATATTGGCCCTCAAATCCAAAATGACTGCGTGTAATACAAAGCCTACTTAATAACTGCAGTATTAATTAGGCCCTTTTTCATATGAAAGTTTTCATGCCACAGTCTTGACAGTCAGATTTCTTGTCAAAATCCCTATTCAAAAGAATGGTTAAGTGTATTCTTACAAATGTACAGCTGTTACCATAAAGACTAAAATAACATTCAAAGGCTCAAAATAGAAAGCAAATGATGACTTCTGAAAATGCCTTATTAAATCTTAAAATAACTACCCATGCAACAAGCTCATGACTCAGACTGGGACCATGTGAAAAGAAATGGGCCGATCTCTGTTTTGTGGGATCTGTGCAGTGGGACCGCTATATAGATTCTTTTGGAGTTTCAGAAACTAACCCCCGACCCCACCTTGAGAAAAAAGAGAACCCACCTGTAGTGGGTTGCATGGTGTCCTCCAGGTTTAATTCATGTCCACCTGGAACCCCAGATGTGACCTACTTTGAAAATAGGGTCTTCGCAGATGTAATTAAGGTGTAATATAAGAATCCAGGTGAGATCATACTAGAATAGGGTGGGCCCTAAACCCAATGACAGTGTCCTTACGAGAGACAGGAAAGGACACACACAGAGAAGGAGGACATGTGAAGACAGAGATGAGAAATGGGTTACACTGCCATCACCAACCAACACTTGGGGACCATCAAAAGCAGCAAAAGCCAATGATGGATTCTCCCCTAGAGCCTGGATTTGCTCCCCAGAGGGAACATGGCCCTGCCAACACCTTCATTTCAGATTTCTGGCCTCTAGAACTATGGAAGAATAATCTCTGTGGTCTTAAGCTCCCCAGTTTTGGTAATTTGCTGCGGCAGCCACAGGAAATGAATGTCCCACCTTAAAGTGAGCGAAAAGTGTTACAGAAAGATCCTAGGTTCCTTTTGGCAACATCATCCCCAAAATGGTATGAGGTGATTTTAGATGGTACATGAGCAGTATGCCATATACCACTGATGCCCCAGATTGAGAAAGTCAGCCCCCTTTGATTCTTTTCCAGTCCCAATTAAGTCAAAGACACTGCAGGCTCGTGTGAGGGCACATAAAGCCTCTCTCCAATGTGCTGATCTCCCTTTTCAACAGAACAAGCTTGACCTCAGAGGCTTCAGGGGGCCTCTGCACTACTTTGTTTTTATCATATCTATTTATAAAAACAGTATTGGTTTCCCACAGTATTATAACCCGGTATTATAATGTCTCCTTTAAAATAAACATCTATAGTATGTATACCAGTGTTCACAGCAGCATTATCCACAATAGCCAAAAGGTAGAAACAGCCCAACGGTCCATCAACAGATGAATGGATAAACAAAGTGTGGTATATACCTACAAAAGAGTATTATTTAGCCACAAAAGGAAGGAAATTCTGACACATGCTACAGTATGAATGAACCTTAAAAACATCACGCTGAGTAAAATAAACCAGACACAAAAGGACAAATGTTGTATGATTCCACTTACATAAGGTACCTAAAATAGGTAAATTCATAAAGATACAAAGTAGAATAGGGGGTTACTAAAAAACAGACAATACTAAAAAAAAAAAAAAAGCAGAATAGACTGTGGGGAGCAGGGACTGGGGAGTAGTTTACTAGGTAGAGTTTCTGTCTGGGATGATAAAACAGTTCTGGAAATAAATAATGTGATGATTATACAACATTGTGAATGTAGCTAGCCACTGAAATATATACCTAAAAATAGCTAAAATGATACATTTTATGTTATATATATATTTTACCACAACCAAAGCCTTTAAAAAAAAACTGTTACAAAAAATATATTTATAGGGGCGCTTGGGTGGCTCAGTCGTTAAGCGTCTGCCCTCGGCTCAGGTCATGAGCCCAGGGTCCTGGGATCGAGCCCCGCATCGGGCTCCCTGCTCCGTGGGGAGCCTGCTTCTCCCT